CATTAGGAGTCTGACACACGTTTTGACACGGACTCACATTCCCTCGCTGTCCCTGCAGGCCAAAACTCAATCTGATGTTTCCATTAAAACATGTCACATTTTAAAAATGACATAAATGAAGCACTTATTTTCAGTGCCTGGATGATGATTTAGTGTTTGTCAGGCCTCTCTCCTTCATGCTGTATGAGGCTTTTACAGCTTGCGTGTGCTGCACGTATCCTGTACTGCTCTAAACTTTTAGCATGTTTCGTCAACATGATGAGAACATTTTATAAAAATCTGCGCTATATAAACGACACGTCAAAGTGTGCCATACTAACTGTTTCATGGAAGTTTTGAACAAAACAGAAGCTGTGTTGCCAACCAACTCAAGGGAGGAAGGGGTTTTTACAGATTGGTCATCATGCCCAAGTGGTGGTTTCCTCTTTTTCTCAACTCACTAACGAAGTTGAGTACATCCATGTAAGTGTGCCAGGAGAGTCTGGCTTTGTTTTGTGTTTTAATGTGATTTATGAGCTGTGTAACGTCCAGGGTTAGGGTTATTGGTATCACCCTCTTCTTATGCTGTCTGGATCAGGAGCTCTGCTTCCACAGCGTCCCACACACCAGAATATGGCTGGACATGACTTTACAGTGGAACAATGTGTTTGTGTTCATAACTAGCAAGAAAAACAGCAACACACCGACTGCCTTTACATGACAGTGTGTATGTAAGTTACCCAGAGAGGAATGCGCCGTAGCCTAAGGATGCTGTAATTATTCTTTGTCTAAACTTGCTCTGGGTACACGACACTAGAAGCTGCCAAGAAGCCCTGCCTGTCAAAGGCTATTGTATCCAAAAAAACATGCTCAGCGAAGTGAATGCCGGCGCGCTGCTCGATGCTACGCATCACGCTGTGACTCTTCCTGCTGCTGCAGATGTTGAGCTGCAAATTTGGAAGATAAAAGTCTGGACGACATGTAACCTGGAGAACATCAAATGCTTTCATTGGATTATTTTCAGTAATTCAGATCTTAGCATCGTAGCAAAGACAAGCGCTCACAGCTTCTGGTCTGAGCCTCCACTATCTACTGGTCTGCTTGGGATTCATTCTAACTGACACACATAACCAGAGTCAGCATCGGGCCTCGGTGCCAATGTTGTGCTTGTTGTTCAGTCCTGCTTCTCCTCTTCTGAGCTGGGTTCTGATCCATTATCGAGCATTATGCCTGGGCACATTTTGGAACTTCAGATCCATGAAACCTTATTTAAACTTAATGGAACTCAGCGGTATGAGTCTAAATGCTTTTAGATGTAAAACACGTTAAACAGGTCATTACTTGGTGAATGAATGACATCAAGGACATGACACCATGAAGCAGACGACATGCGTCACAGAACACGACATGATGAATAAGTACCGCTTGGCCCCAAGGTGTGACTACTTGCGGTGTGTAATCAGCTCACAACACTCGAGATCATTGAGATGTGATGGTGAGATAAAGTGAACAGATCAAGATGTTCACCTGAAGCTTCCAATAGAGTCAATCCACCACAAAACATGAACGTGCAGAAACACAGCGCGGTGGGAACAGAACATGCAAATGATGTTAAAAACAACAGCACACACTGCTACGGATGCCAACGTATTTATAATAGCTACAGAACTAGAATTAGACAGAAAGATCATGAAACACAAGAGTCTCAGGAAGCCTTAAAAGGATCCACGTTTGTGAATTCAGACTTTGTGCTGATTCTGGCCCTGACTGCTGTGTCCATGCTTCATGTGTTAAACAGCGATTTATGAAAAATCCTGCCGACGTTACAGACTGAGGACTCAATGCTTCCATATGAAGGATGTCAAGCATAAAGACAAGTGTGTGAGGCTCTGTCCTGTCCTATCAGCGGGGCAGCGTGTCACTCATTAAACACCCCCAGAGCCTGGTTTGGTACAAACTGGAGACGCTAGCATTTAGATCTGAAGCACTTCATTTAGAGTGCATCACATGACTGTCATTGTGCCTGATCTTTGTGACATGTCAGTGAACTGTCTTTGTCCCAACATGTTTTACTACTTCCACAACTACTTCTACACACTTGCACACACACCTTTATTATTCTCTGGTGAAAAACACATGACAAACAAAGACTTAAGTGGGAACTAGTGGACTGAATCTGTGAATAAAAGCTGATGACGCATATTTTGAGCTGGGTCCAAAGCAAACCTGTGGTTGTGTTCTGGAAGAGGCCTTCTGTATGATGTGTGGTTTTTTATGGCCTACACTCTGAGTCAAAGGTATAGGAGTAGTTCCTCAAGGTGCAGCCGGTTCTGTTGAGTTGTGTTGCACTGTTTGATGTGTGGGTTGCTCGGCATTGTGACACTATGAAGCAGCTTCTGCCTACAAGTGCATGCAAGTAAATAGTGACAACATTAAATTGTAATAAAATGATATACAACAACAAAAAAACTTAGATTTATTTTTATTATTTTATTAAGATTAAAATTAGGTATCCAGGGAATTCTTTGGATTCATTTGGTTTTCATGTATATTTTTAGGCTGCAGGTGTCTCAGTGGTTAGCATCGTTGCCTCACAGCTAGAAGGTCGGTGGTTGGCGTCCCGGTGAGGACACCCGGGATCTTCCTGCGTGGAGTCTCCATGTTCTCCCCGTGCAGCATGGGTTCTCTCCGGGTTCTCCGGCTTGATAATACTGCTTCAGGTTAAATGTTCAGTCAGGTAAACTTGTATTTTATTGATACTTGATACTGTAAATGAACCCTGAACCATAAATAACACTGTGGGGTCCTCACTTGGATTTTTAAACATATCTGATCAATCTATAATACTGATCTTATGACTGTGGTAATAAGAGGGACTTGGTTTGACTTGTGACTACATTTTTTACAACCAGCATACAGTATTTCTGTAAATGTACAGAAATAGGCCAGTGCCTGCAGGTGCAGTGTGTTTGTACCCAGCCGGCTGCTGCCCCACCCTCAGGTGACATGAGTCAGATCGCTGTCCCAACAACAACGGGGCATAATCGCCTATAAAATGGGACAAAACTCATGAGTCATGTGATAGTATATAATATGGCTGATGATGCTCTTAGAGTCATATTCAAATGGATGCTGTGAGCAGCTGCGTCACTTCAGTCTGTTGAAAACATTAACCCCTTCAAGCACTGTGTCCACCACACAGGAGTACTAAATGTGCACCAAGTTACTCCAAACCAGCAGGGACCGATCTCCAAAACCATCTCAGTATTGCATTTAATACAATTCACTTCAATTCAATGTTATTTATATAGCACAAATCCACTGCATATGTCATCTCATAGGATTCAACATAGTAAGATGAAGACCTTTCACATTTTAAACCGAGAAACCAACAGTTTGACGTTTCCTTGGATTCCCTTTGAGCAGCCAGTCAGTGGCAGTAAGAAGGAACCAGACAACGGGGAGGAAAGAAAACCTTCAGCAGAACCAGGCTCAGCTATATAATCACTGTCTTAATGATTGGCTGTAGCTCAGGTGGTACAGCGGGCTATCCTCCAATCGTAAGGTTGGTGGTTCGATCCCCTCCACAGTCAGTGTTCTTGGGAAGACGCTGAACCTGAAGCTGCTCCCAATGGCAGCAGCACCCTGTATGGCAGCTCTGTTGGTGTATGAATGTGTGAATGAGAAGCACTGTAAGGCGCTTGGATAACACGCTGTGTAAGTGCAGACCGTTTACCAAACATTTCATCATGAATACAAAACGGCAAATTGATGTGTCATCTGTGAAATATTAGGAAAAACCTTTTCTTAGTATTTTATAGACATAGAGGTACAAACATCTTCTCTCATTAACCGTAGTGTAGGAACACCTCGATTAAAGTTTGATCCATACAGTTGTTGTCATGTTTTGTTGCTGCTGCTGTTTTTATGAGTGAAAATGTGATTAATAATTACACTCATCAGCGATATAAAAAGCTACATAAATGTTGCCTGATAACATATAAGATCTACATTGTGAGTTGCTGCACAGCAGATAGATGTAAATAATCATGTGGGGAGGTTTCACAGTCTGTTTAACTTGTGTACATCTTAACAGTGACTTCCACGACACATGTATGTTCATTTCTCATGCCAGTAGCCAAACATGTTCCCTTCAGCCATACTTACATACGTCAAACTTTTCAGTTGCATTCCTGCCAATATTCGTAGTTGTTTTTTTTTTTTTTCAGAGGGCTTAGCTGATGTATGACTCATAGTCTGATCTATGGAACATGTTGTTCCTATGTTTTGTTCATGTTCTCTTATACATGTATCTGTTCTCCCTCCCCTTTACTCCCGACTGCAGCTGCTGGAGGCACCTGGCGCTCACCGACCATTCCTCCTGGTAAAGGGAGTGTTTTCTTCCCGCTGTGCTGCTCAAACGTAATCCAAAGTAAACTTTGTTGTGTTTCTCTGTTTAATGAGTAATCCTCACCGTTACATGTGAAGCCTTGAGATGAATTATGCTTTGAATTAAATTGGCACTATAATAAATGAAATGGAATTGAAAAGAATTGGATAAACTTTTAAAAAACATGTTTTTTTTCCTCCAGCTGTTGACAGTGTTTTCTGATTTCATTCTTTTAAAGCCTTTAGCCCCAATATGTCAGCAAGATGAAACAAGAAAGTTAAGCTGGTTTTATTCAACAATTAGATTTTAGTTCTGGAATTTCTGCAAAATTGTACATTTTTTAAAGCGATATGTCATCTGCATGTATTTGAAATACAAAATGACATCAGGGATCAGCGGGTAAGTTTCATGGTTATATCTGTTAAAAGCTTTTGTAATATTTTGTCTTGCAGTGGGTTTTAAACTGTAGATGTCTGGTGGACAGCATCCATCTCGCTTCAAATACTACACATTGGAAAAACAACCCTGTTGAACGTGTTCCAGATGTTTGGGAGTTTTAACAACCTTTGATAAATTCTCACTCAGCTTTCAGTAACTCATGACGATCCTTCTGTAGAAACGTGCACAAAAGTTTGACACATGTTCTTTTATTGGACAACACAGGACATCATAAACAACTGGCACGTGACCAAATCCAACAGAAACATTGGCAGAATCAACACATCTTGTATGTACAGTCAACACCGTTAGACACCTGGAGCTAAGTTGCTGGACAGTGAAATGAATGGAAGGCCAGAGAATCAGGCCCAGACTTTGCATCAGAAGCTGTTATTGTTTGTCCTCCTGATGCTGCTAACAATCAGGGGACGGGCACACTGCAGAACACACGGGACAAGTGTAATGGTTTATCATGAACATCAAGGCAACTCGGATTACACTGCAAGGATTACAATAAGGCACCCTCTGTGACACGTGCTCACCTCTACTGCTGAGCAGTGGGTCAAGACAACATACAGCCAAGACTGCTCACATCTGGACAACACTTCTTTCATACATTGTGCTTATGAATATCTGTAACACTGGCTTTCTGCACTCACTCGACCAAAGCACGGCGCTTCGTGACACTGCATTTATGCATCATGACAAAAGAGTGTATAATGTGTCATCTCAGGAGATCACTGTGCGCACAGCAGTTTAGCAGGACGTGACCATCGTGTTGTGCATCCTCTACATGACCAGTTACTTCAAGCACTAGCGTCTACGTTTCCATCAGACGTCAACAGCAGCAACGCAAAAATAAAAAGCCCTTCGTTTTACAGAACAACTCCCGTATGTGAAGCAAACACCCTCAGAGTTCTACAGTAGGTAGGTAGTAGTTCTTCAATGCACTGTGGCATGCTTGGCAATGTCTGAAATAAGCTGGAAGTTTACGCCACCTACTGGTTGTATCATAAATAAACATTTATTTTATTAGGTGTTTAGTATGTGCCATTCGACTCTTCAACTTGATGCCATGGAGTCATAAACAAAAGGGACAAAAAGGACCAATAAATAAGTGTGTGTTCAATAAAACGTAGAGATGTTTAAGTACCAGAGTTGTCTCAGCGTTTGTGAGGGAGTCGACCACAGCACTGCTCTCTGCTGTGACCATGATACTGAGGGAAGGAACCAGGAAACAAACAACCGCCCAGAGCTGGCTGTGTCTGGAATCAGCTTCCTGTAGCTTATTATATGCACGTGTCTCAGTCGTTCACTTGGTCCGTTGAATTCTAACAGCTGTGAAATGTTCTCAATGAGCTGGTTTACGTTCAGCATTTAAATGTTTCCCTCTGAGCTGGCTGCAGCAGCTACAGAAAGACGGCGGTCATTCCTGGTGGCGCTCCTGCAAGCCTGATCAACAAGAGAGTTTGTTAAGATGACACACCCAAAGGGAAGCTCACTGTGAGTCTACACCACTCATCCCCTGTGGGCTGGAAAGGTGACTGCAAAGTCTTTCTCAGAGTACATATCAGTGTGGATTATCGCTTCAGCACTGTCCGAGCAAGCATGAGATGTAGGAAGTGGATCAACCTGCCCTGTGGAAAAACTCACCCCTGTTAACAAAACCAGAAGTCAGCGTACTGATGCTGCAGAAGAACATCTCCTGCTTGTCGATAATGACGTAAACCATTAAAATGACATGACTGCTTAAAATCTCAGTGCAACTTTGGCAACCAACAATCACCATTTTTAAACAGGTAAGAATTCCAGTTGTGGCACATCTTAATGCAAACAGTTCAAGTAAAAGTGAAACTAGTGGCCAAGCAAATGAACGAGTCATGTCAGCTGAGCTACAATAACACAGGACCACTTTCATCTTGCAGCTGGCAGTTACTACGCCATCGGTAGCAAATACATCCAAAAACAATGTGGTGCTTGTTTAAAAGGAACCTGAAGCACTGCGGTGTAAGTAGACCTCCCTCAGCTACTCGTTAAACTATCCACAGGTAATAGTCTTATTTATACTTAGTTATAATAGGATCTATTTCAGCAGAATCAGGCGTAGGAGATTCAGATATTCACAGGATTGAACATACAATAACAATGTAAAGTGTATTCTGAATTAATCACACTCCTTTCCCAATCAAGCCAGCATCCACAACCCCTTCAATATGCCCACTGCAGTGGACAAGAATATTCATTCATCGTATTGAAAATGTATGAACAAATAAAAGAACTACACGCAAATAAAATTACAGAAAAGCTAGTCTAATAAATTAAAAAATCTTCCATTTCTTGATGGAACTGAACCGGACTCAGTGCTATACTGTACTTAGTTAATTCCCACAGTGCAGAACCGAAGGGTCCTTGGGGTGGTGCCTTGGGGTCCACCAGCCCCTGGCTGTGGGCTGTCTTCCCAGCAGTGGCAGGGGGGTATTGACAGGTCCCTGTGCCAATGGTGTCTGGATTTGGCAGTCACCATCCTTCAGCTGGTCCCATCCCTTCATTTCAGCTCGTCCTCTGTGGCTCAATGTGCAGCGTCGGCCAGACTCCACACAGAAACTAAATAAAGTCGACAGAAGGCAACACGTCACGGGTCAAACTCCAAATGCGCCACCAACAATGAAAGGGTTAATGGAAATACACAATGACATAAATAAAAGCTGAAAACAGTTAGAGACATACCTTTACTTTTGGTCTGTACTTGAGGTAGGTTGATCTGATCTGCAAGCTAAAACAATAAGAACATTTGATTTTAACGTACGTGAACAGCTAAGCCAGTGCAGCTGTAATGTCCTGTGAATAAAGTTGAAGTTTACCTGAGAAGTATGTGCAGGTAGGATCCCAGGCCTGTGAAGATGTGCCACCAGGCATGGAACTGTGTTACTACTCCAACACCAGGGGGCAGCGTCTGTCTACTGGCTCTGAGAGTCAAAGGAAGTGTTGACCCAACAACTTGAGTGAATTAGGAAAACAAACATGTGGTCTGCTGCAGCAGTGGTAATCATCCTGCCATCCTGTGGCCCAGCAGCCATTTACTGGTCCACTGTGAGAACACTGATTCATGTAAATGTGCATCTTTGGCTCATACTTTAATCTTAAAACATCATTTTGCTAAATGTGCTCCAGGCAAAGCACTCTGAGCATCACTGCGCTACAGTCTGACAGGTTTCACAAAAGGGAAGATATAAATAGTTTAAATTATGTTCTACATTTTTGAATTAACAAATGTTGTCATATTAAAACCCAAACATTTAAACATGCATGTTAGATAAATAGTTTAAATTACGTTTGTTGTATCACAGAACATGATGATTTCCAGACACCGACATAAAAGACATGAACATTGTGACTACGCTCATGTACCGGTGATGTGCACGTTTCCCACATGTCAGCTCTCAAAAGGAGAATAATGAACCCTGTTCAGGACCCTGGGGGTCTCCTGGACCCCAGGCCGCTTGGTGTAGGTGACTGGCGTAGTTTTTTTATTTTTGAAGATGTTTTTTCTTTAATATAAAAAGAGGGACATTTGTCATGTATTTGGAACCAAAAATCCGCCAACTTATCAGAAAATGATTTAACATAGTTTAAAAGTCTTTAATGACACCAACAAATTTTTTGCACCGATTCTTTCTTGGGGTCCAATGGACCCCCAAAGACCTTCCACGTCTGGAAACATGAAGGTCCTGAACAGGGTTAACTATGGAAATTATTTCTGATCAAATGTTTAAAATATTAATGTGTTTTCCACTTCAACCACTCACCTTAATGAGTCACAGAAGATATTGTCAATGTTCCACAGCAGGAACCCTAACATGAAGATGCCTAAGGAAGTGTAAGCCAGCGGCCTGAGCCATGGGTACACCCTCAACAGAAACAACAGAAGAACACCCTTCAGCATGTTGCTGCTTCAGTGAGCATGAATGAGCATCAGTTCTTCTGATATGCTAATGTTTTCCACTGTAATGCTCCTCGTGGCAAACTTACCAAGTAACAATGAAGATGGAGCGCATCACTAGGCAAGCTACCAGAGCACCATACATGACCTGGACAGAGGGGGACAAACACACATACAATCTGTAAATACCAAGTCACCAGAGCTGGTTCGGCTTCAACAATCTGTTAACGTGACAGCATGCTGTCATTCAGACATAGTCCTCGGTCACTTTTAAAACAATGTTCCCCCGTGCTGCATTCATAGACACCCACCACAGGAACAAGAGAGGTGTTCGTCATACAGGCAAGATTCAACAGAACATCAAGTGATGTTCAGAATATACGAACGCAGCAAAGACCAAGTCCGAACTAACAGCAAGCTTATCAATCTGTCCAAACAACTGATGAACACTTTACTAACGTCCATCCATCATCTCTACACCTTTATCCTCACTAGGGTCATGGGGGGCGGAGCCTATCCCAGCTGACTCATGGTGAAGGCAGGTTCACCTGGACAGGTAACCAGCCTATCACAGCTGACTCAGGGTGAAGGTCACATAGGGGCAAAAAAATCGTATTTAGGTCACTTTAGCCTGCTGTCTGAACGTAGCCTTATTGTCACCCTATTCCTGTCTCAATGTTGGGGATCATTTATAATTAAAAGTAAAATGCATAAATGCATGCAACGCTCTCGCTTTGGTCTCACTCATATAGATCCTGCTGCTGTTTGATTCTGTAGATATTTAATAAACTCCTACAAACAGCTGGAAACAAACCAAATCACTGTGCACAACTTGAAGCATGTTGCTTGTGTAACCTAACTCCAAGCAGTTCAGATGTGTGCTGTGTAAACAGTCATATTAGATGGTACCAGGTCTCATTTAGTGAGACTGCCATCAAGACTAACGAAAAAGTGACAGCAGTGCTCATTTAGTCATGAAGCCGACACATTCAGAGGCCTGCATGTCTGAAAGA